GTACACTGAACTTTGACTCTGGCTCACACCCTATCGTTTTACCAAATACAAATAGCTAACAATCCTCTTGCTTTGCGTCGTCCCGTCCAACAGCAACTTGACCTTAAGGTTATGCTTAATCTTTGTAGATGGTAACAGGTAGATCAAACAATACTCCACGAATGTTTTGACCCTTTTCAAAGTATGATCGCTTTTATTTTTGTTCTTTAATATTTGAATTCGATGTACAAGTAAATCTATTTTTCTCTTATCGTTGTAGCTACAAGAATTTGATCACGATCAGGATTTGAACAACACTCTTAAACTCACCATGTGGTTATGTGTGTGTTCTAGAAAGACTTGCAGAGAAATCTCTTAGATTTTCTGCAAAAATAATCTTCCTAAGGCTTTTATGAATAATGAATTGATAGTGCAAAAGCCGATCATAAACCTAGATGATTATCAGGGTTCATATAGAATATTCAAAGACCTAAACCTTCAGAAAATATAGGAGATTTTGTGCATAGGACTTGGTACAATTCTAAACCAACTAGGCAGGAAAATCAAAACAAGAAACTGAAGTTACCTAACCCTGTCTGGGGTCTTGAACCAGTTCAAGGAAAACTGAACCGGTGCAAGATGGTCAGTGGTTTTTCAAAGGCAATTTTGAATGCCTTGAACCGGTTCCAAAGATTTTAAACCGGTTTAAGAAGACTAGTCTTGAATCCTGAAGGCTGAAGTTTGAAAAACATTGTTTTGGTAAGTTCTGAAAATATACCAAGTGTCCTAACCTTCTTAGATCTCTTCCTAAAGTGTTGTTCTTTCCTTTCTGAATGATCTCAATCATGATATCTTTGAACAACCTTCCAATTCCGTAGTCGCTGTCGATCCTGATATAGTAACTTATAGTTACAACTCCACTATGACTTGTTTTGTTACCAAAAATTGTCAATTACAAAATTTATATCTCACAATCTCCCCATTTGGCAATTTCGTGACAAAACCCTAAAAATATTTAAGTAATCTACCAAAGCAAAAAAGTAAATTACAATTTTTGTTCAAAGGAAAACACCAAATTTCTCTCTGTTCTCTTCTCTTCTTGGATAAACGATTTGACCTGATTTCCTGCACAATATCAAACAATCATGAAAGAAAAGGTGTTTAATATGAATAAGTGTGTAAATTTAAAAGAAACTCTTTTCTAAAAGAAGACAACTTCATAATAAAAAAATATAAAATATATATATATATATATTTATTTATTTTTCGTATTAAAAATCTATGTAAAGCGTAAAAGTGTATTGGTATGAAAATATATATATATATATATATATATATATATATATATATATATAATAAATAAAATAAAAATAAAAAATACGTTGAAATCGTAAAAGGTACAACGTTTAGGAATCAAAAGGTGTATAACAGCAGAAATTGGAAACTGAAAAGTCAAGTAACGAATTAGTTAAATAAATTAAGTGTTTTAAAATGTATATAAGAAAAATCTCACTATAATTTTATTCTTCTCACAAGGAGGTATATATACTATGCACATATTATACATATAAGGTAAGAATTAAGTTTACAAAGTCAGCTCTAATCAACTATGCTAATAATGCTAATTGATGAAAGGTAAACCCTAATCAATCACGTTAACACAATGATGTAAGGTTTCTGGAATTAATCAGTAATAAAAATCCAAAAATCTAAAATACGAAGTATAAAAATAAAAACGCTATTTACTTATCAATAAATAAATGGAAACACTATTTGACATTTTGGTACATTATTAGTATCTACAAAACTCAACATAACCAAAAATAAATAAATAAATAAATAGTATGAGTGTAGGTTTCCTGAAATTACTCAGTAATAAAAATATAAAATTAAAAACACTATTTAACATTTTGGTACATGATTAGTACTTACGGAACTCAACATAACAAAAATTTATTTTAAAAATGAATAGTATGAGTATAGGAGACAATGTATAATTATTGGTGTAATTCATACCTCGTCATGAGAACCAATTTACCATTGTAGTGTCCTCAATCCATGACATAACATAATATGTCTATGACTCCATAGAATTGAACGAACTTGACAATATAATAAAAGAACACTTTAAATTTAGTAAAATAAAGTAATAAAAATAATAAGATATTATATTAAAATTAACATCACATAAATTCAAGAACAGTGGCACAGAAGAAAGTACAGATTCGGGGTCAGCATGAAACAATTGGATGGATTTTCTTTGTTTTAATTTAAGCAACACATGTAATTTCAAGAATAACCATTCTTTTATTTTATTTTCTTTTTAATGCATACGTACTCTCCAATTCAAGCCAACTTTGGGCAAGTGAATTGAATTAAAAAAAAAAAAATGTCGATTTCATACCTTTGAAAAAATTGGGTTTTGATTTCCAATTTGTTGCACACTAATAAAAGATTTGTCTCCAATGAAAAGGGTTTGAAGGTAATTTAGGCTGTTGGAATGTCCGTCTACCTTTTATATGATGGAATCGATATATACTTTCAAGATCAAATCGACATATACTTTCAAGATCAAATCGACATATACTTTCAAGAGTCTTGCAGTTTAAAGAAGGAAAGAACGTAAAAAAAAATTATTAAAAAATATAATATATACAAAATAATTTAAATAGAGAACCAATGTATTTTAATCGGATATTATCTAAAGAAAAGGTGTTTAATATGAAAAAGAAGAGGCCTTTATAGGTATTCCAATTTTAAAGAAACTCTTCATAAAAACAGGCTACTTGGTAAGCAAAATATATAAATTATTTATTTTATATTAGGATAGGTGTTGAATTTTTTTTTTCACTCTCAAATGTTAGTAGTTAAGAAGGTAACCTTTGAAGTGTTTTATTTTTATATTTGAAATTCAAAGGTGTAAATGTGTATTGGCAGGGAATATTAAAAATATTGAAATGCTAAAAAGTGTGAATTCAAAAGGTGTATAATGTAAATTAAAAAATATGTATATATATATATATATATATATATATATATATTTACGATACAAAAATATTTATTATTTTAGAATAGATGAGGTGTTTGTGGTTAGAAAGTGTCTGTTACAAGAGTTTAATTATTTTACTATTATTATTTGAAAAGTCATGTTTCTTGAGAAAACAAAAAAATTAAATTCATGTTTTCTTTTTAAATTAAAAAAACTAATTTTAGTGTATATAAATATAGATATATTTAATACACATATTACACATAAAATATATATTAAAGTGATTGAATTAAATACCATTTTTATTCTAAATGCAACTCTAAAGAGTTTCTTAGTTTCTCAATATTCTTATCCTAAATCATAAATACTTTGGAGAGAATTAGGCAATGTAAAGAACCTACAAAAGAATAATATATATATATTTTTTTATGGTAAAACAAACACACAAACACACACACTTTTTGTGCCCACGCCGGAGCTCAAACCCCTCCCCTCTTCTTTGAAGATGGGGAGGTTATACCATGGGACTAGAGAATTAAACGAGACAAAAAAGCAACATGGAACAATAAAAACATTAAATACAAAAAGAAGATGTATAGAGGCTTTAGATTGTTGGGATCACAATGTAGTTAGACAAAAATGATTTGTTATAACCTAATATAAATAGTACAAATAAAGTATTATAAAATAATAATAGTCCAGTAAAATATCAATAATAGCATATTAAAATAAGAGAGAGTAAGAAATTTACTTCTGACACTTTGAGAGTCAGGACCATGAAAGACTCCAAAATTGTCAAGTTGAAGAACATTGATCAAGTCTTCCATTGCCATGTTGCCTATAAATTCATATATATATAAAACATATATTGTTTTTATTAGACTACTATTCTATTTATGGGTTACTACACACCTATCCATGAAATGATGTGTCTATTCAACTACAAGAAGTTTACAAGAAGTTTTTACCGTTAACTTTCTTCATAACCGTTCGTATTTCTTTCAAACCTTTCATCAATAGATTTTTAAAAACTTTATTTTGTTGAAAATCAATTTGATGCATGTTAATAAAAAAATGTGTCTTCAACAAAAGGGGTTCAAGATAACCGTGAATAAAACCTCTACTAAATTTTTGCATAGAAACATAGAGAGAGAGTAAGAGTGTAAATTAAGGAATTGAAATATCGTACTTTTTTTTTTAAAAATAATAATAAATAGAGAAGTGATATATTTTAACTGACATAAACTTTTCATGAAGGAAAAGGTGTTTAATATGAATAAGTGTGTAAAAGAAACTCTTTTCTAAAAGAAGACAACTTGGTAAGCAAAAAATATATAAAAAAAAAAATTATTTTTCATATTAAAAATCTATCTAAAGTGTAAAAGTGTATTGGTATGAACAAAAAAAAAAGAAAAAAAAGGAAAAGAAAAGTACAACGTTTAAGAATCAAAAGGTGTATAACAGCGAAAATTGAAAACTAAAAAGTCAAGTAATAAATTATTTAAATAAATTAAGTGTTTTAACAATGTATATGAATTTTAGAAAATGAATCCTCTTTTTATTAATAATATAGATATAGATATAAAAACTTCCCAAAAAAATTTTAAAGGGACAGTGGTGCCTATTTTTTTTTAGAAGACTTGCTATTTAAACATGTCTCACTCTTTCACAGGGTTGTGGGCCCTACCATCATGTATTGGTGGGACCCACATTCTCTTGAAATAGTCGAGTTATAATTATTACTTTTTACTTTTATTTTTAATATGAGATGTTGGGACACATAAAAAGGGTCACCAAACCCTTAGTCAAATTAAAAAATAACAATAAAGTGTTTTCCTAAAACATACCTTTGCTTCCGGACAATGATTGTTTTTGAAATTCCTGGTCATAGCTTGTTAAGTGAACAGTTACGCTTGCTTCCTGACATGATGGCAGCCTAGTGACTTGAAGTCAACGGCAGCATGCATGAGATATCTGCAACCCAGCCTTAAGCAATAAAAACATTCCTGATTCGTTATTTCTAACAGTAAAGTTGAGGGAAATGCACTTCATTACGTTACACAGAGGACTCAAACATGTCAAAATGGCTGGCTTTACAAATGACAATGTATTTTGCTCTAAAAAGTTCACATCCTGTACAACTACAAGGGTAATTTCCAGAAGCTGAAAATAATACGGCATAAAAGAATAAAGAATCAACTGAATGAAAACTCTACAGGTGATCCTGTCTGCTTCTAGATCATGTAAACTTTATCTCGTAATACCTTTCTATCCAATTTGAATATGGAGATCTTTTCATTCTTGTTTTAAAGAAAAATCCTGCTGTGTCATCCTACCTGAAAGAAGTCAATTCAATGATATGCTTCAAAAGATGAATATGTCAGCTACAAGATTCGTGATCAGTGGTTGATCATTTCTTCTACCTACTCTCTGTATTTGATTGACAGAAACTAAACTACAAAATCAACTCTAAGAAGACGGTGCTCCTTCATTATTTTCTTCAGCAGGCGTTGGAGATACGGATGATCCAGTTGCAGTGCTGTTTGTCACTAATGGGCTGTACCTTTTAAGCAGTCTGTCTTTGTTTTCCATCCACCATTCTTCTGCCTGCTGCTCAGCAAACCTTCGTTTGCTGTAGAATCGTCACAGTCAAAATCCACAAAAGGACGATAAGAGAAATATTAGGTAGAAAAGGCTACAATTGTTCCAAAAGAAATGGTTTCACCTTTTCTCATAGCAATAACATATGATTCATGAAAATTTTAAAATAATGCATGAATAACACACAATTTATTAACTACTAATGACAATGAGGGAAACACATAAGCATAAACAACTACAAGCATTTAGACAAGAATGACCAATTTATTCATGGCATTGGGAGAGGGAAATGAAAATTAATCTACTTATTGAATGCAGACTGTTCTAGAACTCTTTCTTGTTTACTTCTGCTTTTCATTGCCAACAAAAGGATACTCCTTATTTACAAGGACTGGGAATTTTGTCAAGAGGAAATTAATTAAATGAATGGAGTAATCTCTATTTCCTCCTATGACAATATCAATATCATGTTTTCTACATCACGACACACTAGCAAGCGATGGATGTTTCAGGACCTTCTCCTGGTGAATGAGAAGAAACAGTACAAAGCAAGGATTCTCTTATACTCTCCATTCTTAGTTTCTGTTTCTACTAGCTTTATGTGACCTCTCCTTGCTTCACCATAATTTCACTTCTATATATAAAAAGAAAGGTGATTACCAATTATGGTCCTTGTTAATCAAGGGTGCTGGGAAAGACAGACTGGATACAGATCTAACCTTTGGCATTATCTGCAAAAAGTGGCTACTCTCAAGATTCGAATTTAGGTTCTCCCATTTGAGAGCCCAAGTATTTTACTGCTGCCATATATCTGAGAAAGAAATTCATAGGGAAAAAATCATAGGCATGACAATAGGGAGCAACCCAAGGTTGTGCAAGTGCGAAGGTCGTAACTATTTGAAACCTTCTCTTAAGAGTTGATAGTCAAAAAATTTGGTTGGTAGCACATCATGTTAGCTATCACCCAAGTTTCTGAAATTCTTCTTCTCTTTTCTTTTCTTTTCTTTTTCTTTTGACCCGGCAAATAACATACACTGTTTGTCCCTATAGGGACTTGAACCCTCAACCTTCCACTTTGGAAGGTGGAAGGTAGAGGAGATACAATTTTAGCTTCATTCATATATGTCTAGATTAAGAAATCCAAGAAGATGTTAACAATTTCACTTTCTTAATTCCTATAATTTGAGAATAATAGATACTTTTTGGAGTCATTGTTAATAATCCATTGAATGACAAGGGACCAGATTTTTTTTCACAGGCCAGTCTGTTGATAAAAAAATTTAATAATCAGGGTTAGAAAACATGAAAACAAGTGCAGGTGTATGAATGTAAGCTGGCTAGCAATTTCCTTTATTCCTTTTTTCCTATATGAGGAAAAATTACAGTTTAGATGATGGGAAAGAGCGTGCAGATAAGATCTGGGTGTTCAGTTTTCTGCAGTGAGTTCAAAACTTAGAAGAAAATAAATCTTGGAGCCCTGTAATGTGAATTCCATTATGGTACGTTTTGATCAGAAACAGGTAAGGTTCCTCACCTATAGGAATTGGGATAAAAAATCCTCAATAGTCAAACATCAGTTACCTATGAGCAATAGATGTATCTTGGTTTTGGTTCAATTATGGCCAAAGGAACCTACATGCGATTCTAATTGGCAGCTTTTGGGATGAAAAACAAGATAACAAAAGAAGAAGTTTTGGGTTTTGGCTTACTCAAACCGAGAGCCAAGAGCTATATTTATATACAAGAATAGGGTACAAAGAAAGGAAACCAAATAAAAGAAAAACATGAAATATGTCAAAATCTACGTAATCCCATGATTATGGGGATCTTATCTACATGATCCCATGATAATAGGGATCTTACATAAAACACCTAATAAAAGGCTAAAAACAGCTAATAAAAATAAAAATATTAATAATACAGATATTTCAACACTCCCCCTCAAGCTGGAGTGAAGATATCAATCAAGCCCAGCTTGGTGATCAAGGAATGAAGCAAAGATGGACCAACAGATTTGGTGAACATATTTGCTGACTGCTTAGAGGACCGAACAAAGCACGGCTTGATAATTCCCGAATGAACCTTTTCTCTGATAAAATGAATGTCCACCTCTATATGTTTAGTCCTCTCATGAAGAACAAAATCTGAAGCAAGCATGATGGCTAACTTATTATCACAAAACAAGTATGGGGACTATTTTTCACTTAGCCCTAGCTCCTCCAAGAAGATCGAAGCCAAAGAATCTCACAAGTACCCCGGACCATGGCACGATACTCAGCCTCTGCTGAAGATCTCAAAACTACTAGTTGCTTCTTACTTTTCCAGGATATAAGATGATCTCCATAGAAAGTATAGAAGCCAGATGTGGAACGTTTGTCAGTCTTGGACCCAACATTGTGACGACCGTGTCATCTTTTTTTTTTTTTTTCCGCGTTTGTTTTTATTTTATTTCTTTTTCGGCTTCGGGTCAGGGTCATGTGGGCCCAAGATCGAGTCAAGTGCTTGGGGATGACTCCCGACACTTCATTCACTCCATACTTGGGTGTTCCTGTTTCTGTTCCTACTCCCATGTATTGTAATAACAAGAGTCCAATTTAGATTGCACAGAAGTCCGTCTTCCATGAGCATACAAAGCACATGGATATTGATTGTCATGTTGTGCGCCATCACCTTCAGCTTCGCAGCATCTCTCTACCATTGGCTGACTTCTTCACAAAGACTCCTACTATTATGCATTTTCATTTTTTTCTAGGAAAACTTTCAATGCTTCTTACTGTCACATTGTGAGTTTGAGGGGGCTGTTAGGGAGTTTATTTTATTCTTTATTCTTAGGATAGTTTAGTCTTTTCCCTATTCTTCATTCTTAGGGTAATATTCTTGTATTTTAATTTGATATAGCTTGTATAACAGAACTTATTCAAGCCTCTTATTGCACAAAGCTTCACAATAACATCCAATACACACACCATAGATCACAATGTCTAGGCTTATACTAGTGAACATACTATCTAATGTGTATGGGTATATTCATAGCATCTCTTGTGTGTTCAGGTGCTTGGGAACATATATTCTAAAAGTTAAGGAAAACACTACCAAAAGGATAATAAATAAAAGAAAAGAACAGACGAGGAATAACATAAATACCTGAATCTTACTCTCTTGAAAATCTTGGTACCATTTTGAAGTTGAAGGAGAGTTACATAGACACCGGGTTCAAATTGTTCGATAACTTCTCTTTGTCCCTCATTCTTTGTAGATTTAGGTGATCTTGAGCCACTTTCTGTGCTTTGTTGAGTTAGATCTTCTCTAACATCAGATAACCTACTGCTATGCTGCGGAATACTCTGACCATTCTGTGACAGGGCTCTAACTCCTGCAGCATCAGCGTGATCATCCATCCAAGAATACCGCCTCCTAGTAGACTCAACAACTGAGGAAGTTTTATCAGGCCGATCTTGTAGATCAGCCACCAAGTGTGCTGGCAAGGAAGAATGAGATTCAGATGCTTGAGCTCCATTTGTATTTAGAAAAGCATCAACTTGAGCATTCATGGTTTTAAAGGTTTCACTATTCAAAATCTCAGGAGGCAACTTCTCTGTCATTTCCTTCAACTGAATAGCATGAAAATAAGTAAGAATGCAGTCTCATTAGAATAATACCAGATTACAGAAGCACTAATAAGAAGAGAGCCATTATTCATCTTACATGGATGTTTTGACACCATAAATGAATCATGTAATATGGGTTCTGTTAAACAAATGATAAACCCTTAACATAATATTTTCCCAAGAAAATCTATGGAAATATTTTAAGCCTACACCAGCAGCAAAGCTTATAAGAATTATGTATTTCTCTAGTTAAGCAAGCACATAGGCTAGAATGCAACTGCAAAAGTAAATTCCCGGATTATGCATTTCGTTAAGCAAGCACACAAGCAAGAATGCAACTGCAAAAGCAAATATATCCAGAACTGATGAACAAATTAGCAAAAGGGACAAGGGTAAATGATTTCTCTGCCTTGGGTTCTCTTGTCAAACAAAAGAACTTATTATGTTTATTGTTTAAACCATAATAATCAGACATTACTCAGAAAACTACCCTATTCCTGGTTCAACTATGGTGTCACATGGTTGAAGCATGACCATGTGAATTTTTAGTAGGTCTATTTTTAGTAACAAATATTCTAAATTTTTGTTATTGTTCCTTCTTTGGAATATGATTTTAAAGTTTGTCTTAACTAAATCCAAAGAATATTCGTGATATTGAAATTTTAATTAGACCCAACGAGATGGGTTAGTTGAGAGAATTTTATTAATGTCATTGTGTCTGATGTATTTTTAGTAAGGTCGGTAAAACTTATAGCATACTTGGTGATGCTTTGATATATAAAATTTATGAGGAGAAGAAATGGTACTGGTGGTAAAAATGGAGTTACAGAAAGTAGGAGGATTTTAATTTGAGTAGGAAAAATTGTGCTGGAAAATATAAATATAAAAAACAGCGAACTTAAAATAGTAAGAAAAAATAGTTAGTGTTGACATGGTGGTAGAAATTATGAATCATAGGAAGTAGATGATTTTTTTTTTTTTTTCAAAAAAATAAAAAATATATATCAAAAAGAAAAAAAAATGTTATTTGAATATATGATTTGTGAAATTATTTATTGTGTTAGAGAAATTGTCGTTTATGCTTGTTAATTGATAAGGAGCATATATAATATTTGTGATTAGCTGAAATAAAGACAAGTATAAATCCTGATGTGACATAAAGTGAAATTGAGAGGGATATCTTCAAGCAGTGGGATATTGAACAAATTGTGATAATGAAATTGTAGATGTGTCAACCAATGTAGTTTTGGTCATGACCCAGCAAGATTAATGGACCACACCAAACTTGGTCGGGTTAACAAGGACTTGGCAATTCTAATCCTAGAGTGTAACAGACTATCCAAAACCACCAAATGGCCAGGGGCACTAGTCCCTGGTCCAGTTGGATTTTATAATCTAGCTTCAGAGCCACACCTCTTGAAAACAATATAACATCCCCAAATTAGAGATGCAAATCAGGTTTAAAATCCTTGTGTGAGAAAGCTAAAAGTAGAAGAATATCTATTTTCTTTCCTTTCTCTTACTTTTGTTATATTTCTTCTTATTTTTTGCCATGCCAGAGGCCAGAACCATAAACAGGTCATTTTTTTCCTTTTTGTACATCATAATATCACTGAACTTGTGCTTTTAGAAGAAAAGCCACACAATTTGTTTGGCTGTTTTCACATCTGCAAATTGGTAGCTCGTGTTGAAGCAGTTCCATCTCTTCTTAACACAGTAATTTCTTACAAGACATTTTATTTACGATATAGAAAATGCACCTACAAATGCAATTCGCAAAAAAAAATTACTTGCATATAGTGTATTTAGATGCAATAGTTATAAATTCCATTTCCAATAATAGAATGTATATCACTTAGTGGTGAAAAGAATTCCATGAAATTGCTGGAAAAAAAATATATATATATAAACATTAAGAATACCTGAGTAGTTATGGACTCAAAAACTTCCTTTGCAACTGTACACTTGGAAGATTCCTTTGAGGCCAACCAAGCAGCTTCTTGGGCATTTTCCTGTAATTTTTGAATTTGCTTGTCTTGGATTTCACACTTCTGCTTCAAACTCCTAACCTAAAGTCAATAAAATGAAAAATAAACATATGCCAAAGAATCAATAGAAGGATGCAACCAGCTTTATAGTATAGCAAAAGGGAATAGTACGGTACTTGGTTTTGCAATTTCATCACTTCTTGGCTCAGAAGCTCATTCGTCTTCTTAAGACCATCAAGGATACCCCTAGAAAATATTGGAGAGGCTGACCGTGGAGGACTCGGCCTCCTCGAGTATGGTGAAGCAGGTCTTGAGTAAGCTGCAGGCTGAGGCTGAGGCGTTATCATAGCAGGCTTGAAAGCATATTGAAGAGCACTTAGTGAACTTGGGAATGCAATATCTTTTAGTTGTAAAAGTGATGGAACTTGGGATGCTCGGACTATAGAATAAGAATCAGATTTGGTCCCAGGATTTGCTGACTTGACCTCAAGGTACTTGACTGGTTCTGTGGAGGGAGAGAGCAAAACTCTTGAAGTCCTTGTCATTACCTTGTCCAATTTCTCCCTACCATCTATCGATTGACGAGGTGTGGTAACTTTCCTATTAAAGTTAGGAGCACTACCAGCCTCAGAAGCTTTTAGTTTTGCATAGCAAGAGTCACAGACACGATGTGGTTTGCCTGGAGTTGGAGCCAGCGCTGCTTTCAAAGCTTTCTTGGAACTGCAAGCATGGCAATGCACCAGTCCACAGTTATAACAGTTGTGCCTCTTTCTAGTGAAACCAAATGCTTGCCGACAACCAGAGCAAATTGATTGGTCTGCTCCAGAAACCCACTTATGAATGCATATACTTGCAGTGTAATTTGAGCCACATGATATATTTTTCACATGCCTATCTTTTAGTGCTTCGACCAATGTAGGAATCTTACGATCTTCGGTGTCCCCATGTCCCAATCTTCCATTAGCACCTCTTCCCCAAGTAAATACTTCACTTCTAGATGTCAGGACAGCAACATGATATGCACCACATGATATTTCTTCAACAAACTCACCTACCAATCTATCCTGTACTAAGCACGGTAATTTTCCATCAGACTGGGGATTTCCCAGCTGACCATGTGCAGCACTCCCCATAGTGAAGACATGACCAGAAGTAGTAAGGGCAACAGTAATACTATGTCCCAGAGCAATCTGTTGGAAGTTGTAGTCAATAAGTGCAGAGATGCAAGTTGGAAGCAGATAAGTTTCCTTGTTTCCATGACCCAATCGATTTTTATCACCATCACCCCAGGTAAACAACTTTCTAGATGAAACATTTGAACCTAACTGATTCATAACCTCAACAATAGCGGCAGTGTGCCACACTCCACATGCAACCTTGATGGTCTTTAGTCCACTCAATAATTGGACTTCCTTAGGATAAGAAACACTTTCTCGATCACCATGGCCCAAAACACCAAATGTTCCGTCACCAAATGTAAACAGCTTTCCGTTAGAAGTTGACAGGGCTGAATGCCATGTGCCACATGCAATAGATAACACCTGAAGTCCTTCTATAGGACCAGAGACTCTTTTTGGTATCCAGTGGCTAACATCAGTGCCATGACCAAGAAGTCCAGCATTATGGGTACCATCGCCCCAGGTATACAAGTCACCAGATGTTGATACAGCACATGTATGATACTCACCACATGCAACAAAATCTACATTAGTAACTGCCAGAAATTCAATAAGATGTGGACGACTAAAGTCTTTTTCAATTCCATGACCAAGTCTACCCCCAGATTCCTCTCCCCAGGTGAAAACTTCACCTTGCCTAGTAACAAGAGCAACATGTCGAAAACCACAAGCAATCTGCTGAACATCAAGAACTACATTTGACTCTAAGGGTTTAGGAATCAGCACATCAGTTTTTATAGGAAATGAACCCCCAGATCCATCAGTTGAAACCACATCACACCAAATTTCCCCCCAGACATAAACATCACCCAATGATTCTATGTCATCTGGTCCAGAACCATGACTTGAACAACTTGGAGTGCTTGAAACACTAATCCGGAAACCATCTCCAACACTTGTTCTTCCTTGCATATTTGCACGTCCAGACCCCACATCTGAGCCTGGCAAACTCAAAGAAGATTCACTGGAATAAGAATCAACAGAAGCCCTACCACGGGTAATGCTTGAAGTGAACTCTATTGTTGTACCAAATCGACGACTACTTTGACTGAAATCACTAGCAGCATCATTTAACTGCAATAAAACCATATAAACAGCTGCTTTACACAGTTGGAAAATTTACCACCACTAAGAATGTTCGTCTTGGAGATGGCAAACAAATGAATCGCACAATACAGTAAATTACCATAAACTTTGTCCCCACTTAAATGGATGAGTGCATAAATTATTTATTATACTATGTTGCAATAATGCATAACCATTTAATATAAAATCATAAATAATACATGCACTCGTTACATGATTGACAACTACAGATTCAAATAAAAATTCTTACAAGATCAAACTGAATTTAGACGAAGTCCCAAGTAAACAAAAAAGCGATTTATTAACAACTGTAACCACACTTATTCATAATGTTCTGGTAAATAATGGCAACTTCCTATAGAGTTGCACAACCAAGTAAAACAAATAATATGAATTCCAACACAGAATATAACATGTTCAGCGATGGCCATCAATAATTTTCAAGCAGCACAATCACAATAATATACGATCCAAGAAGATACATGATTCTTAACTCAAAAGTAAATTTGCTAGCCAAGTGTCAAATTTTAATATAGTGGACGAAGTGAGAATGGAACTTACTGGCCATAGAAATGATTAATCTATTTACATTGTACCAGCTTCTGTATAGATAGTTGAAGAACAGAATAACTAAAATAAAATTACTGTGCCTTCTACACAAGCATTTGCTTATTTGAGAATTATAAATTGCATATTCCAATTTCAGACAACATTTCAGATAATGTAATGGGTAAGTGGGTAACATGACCTCCACAACTTGACTGGAAAAATAGAGAGAGAACTTGTAATTCAGCATATCTCTGACTCGGTATAATACATTATAGAATGTAAATAAGATAGTTACACCTCTCAATCAGCTTAAGCTTTTGGAGTAGTTGGAGGAAGAGTAAGCAAGGTCTGAGTTTCAAACTCACTATTACTCTAAAATTGTAATCGATACACTTATTAGGTGATTTGAGGGCAAGCAGCTTTCATTTTATTAAATTTAAAGAGTAGGTGGTTTGTATGTTTCTATGATCCCCAGAATAACTAAGAGGACACGCATAGGAAGAGTTCCTGAAGTCTACCCAGAGCCATGTCAAAGAGCCATGTTAGAGGATTAAAATGACTAAAGTTACACCCTCTTCTCAGCTTAGCCTCTTAGATAGTTGGTATTAACAAAATAGCTAAGACAATACTCAAAAAGCTTAAAATTCTTGAAATGACCATACAAGAGCTTAAATTCACACTGCATAGGGCAAAAAGTGTTGGTCTATGTCCTAGTGCAGTGTTTTCTTTGGTAATTTCCGAGGGCTGTGTTTGCCTCATTAATGACAATTTAAGCTCTTATAGTTCAGATATTGTTCCCTGCACTATATGTACTCTCCTAGCATTTTAAAAATCAAGGTTTAACTTTCTGCAGCATTTCTTAGAGGCCTTTTTCAAACAGGTGTACACTGACAGCCTGATAAGGACATTTTGGTAAATGTCTCTCTATTAGAGCCTCAACCTAGCAAGATAAAGAGCTACATCATTTTTCTCCTACCAGAAGTCTATTCTGCATAACCTAAACCTACAGTGAGCCTAAACATTACAGATCCATAGTTCCATTGTTGGTTCTGTGTCAAAACTTGGTGTGAGAAAGCTTCATTCATCACAAGCAACCTATTCAAGCCACAACCAAGCAAGAACTGAGGCTGCAGAAACATTCAACTACCTAAAAGCATCATTCTGTGGAAACAGAATCTGCTAAGAACCAAACAGCTGCAGATTCAAGCTACATTGTTTGTTCTGAAGCAGATCTTGGTGTGAGCAAAGTGTGATGTTGTGGCCCGAGTTTGGTTCCGGGTCGTGTTTCGACCCGTTGAAATTTTTGTGACCCTTTTTTATTGCGGGTCGTTGACCTTGTTTAGTACTCTCTTGTAGCCCGATATATAAGGGCGTTTAGGGTTTGGAGTGGGATATTGAGAGACACTGAAAATCGCAGAAAAAAGAGTGTGAGCGAGAGCTAGGGTTTGGGAGCTGAAACTTGTAATCTCCTGATTTTCGCATAGTGAAACCTTTCACCGGATCTTCACCGTGGACTTAGACACGACTTGTGTCGAACCACACTAATCTTTATGTTCTTTGTGTGTGGCGTGTTTATTTTCTGTCGTGTTTCATGATTGTTTCTTGGGTTTGCTGCACAGTCGTAATAAAAAGTTTTATAATTAACATCTACCTATGCCAGCCACAACCAAGCTGGGATTAAGGCTGCATCCAATTTTCATACCCTGGAGCCTTATTCTGCAGAAACCGTTGATGCTGTGAACATAACAACTGCCTACTCAAGCTGAGTGTATTTCATTCTTACTTTTAAGTGCTTGAGACTTTTATACTTCTTTGTTGAGTTTATGTTGGTGCATTTGTGAGTGATTGTCCAAGCTTTATGTGAGGCAAGTGCTAGGGACAGGGGGAGTAAAAAATATTGTGGGTTGGTAAGTGAGATTGTGAGTGTGTAGTCAAATTCATTCATAGAGGATTTCTTACCTAGGCTTAACAGCCTCGAGGATATTTTTCCCTCTTTTAGGGGGTTTACCTCGTAATTTGGTGTTGTGCATTCTTGATTAGCTGCATTTAACCAACGGGCCAGTGGCCTAATGGTAGTAGGCCCCTACTTCCCAAAGGAAGTAAGGGGTTCGACCCTCGGTGGAAACATGTGTGTGTGAGTACCAACTAGGAATAAAAAAATAAAAAATAAAAAAAGATTAGCTGCATTTATCATTGCGTGCCTACTCAGTTTATAGTCCCCCAAACAGTCAGCTATGTTGATTACGTTGAACCTCCTTGTTCCAAACCCTAAGTCCAGCTTTAGTTTGAAGTTTTTAAATTCCTATCTATAAACGATTTCACCCCTCCCATTTTGGTTTATCAAAAAGAACAGTTTTAGTGTACCATATAACAATATTGTACTCCGAAAATGGAAAAGTAACATAAAATTTAGGGGAAAATGACTATTCACTCAAGGATTAGAGTTATGAAAAGCTTACATCAGAAATTTCACTCCGACTACGTCTATTATTTCTGCCAGCAGAGATTAAAGCCCTTAGGCCTGCAAGCCACACCTCTGCCTCAACTTTGTCCTTGCAAATCTATGTAGTCAGTTCAGTTAAAGGTAATCAATGCACTAAAATTAAAAGTTCCCCATTTTCACATTGGTTTACAAGTATCAAAATTAAAATAAAGGGTTTACTTTTACTAACCAGATCAAGAGATCTTTCACCGTTATTATATAGAAGTGAAAATGACAAGTACTCTTTCTCAGGGCGCAAATATCTTCTAAAAACAGCCTGCACGTTGTAAGTAAATTTTTTTTGGTCAATCCGTCTTGTTGACTGCCAAACAAGAATAATTGTATCATCACATGCCAAAGCGGGTTAACAAACTCGAAATATACAATTATCATTTCGCCCTCAAACAAATGTGCTAACTCACGGTTCTCTGTCCAGGGATGATCCGTGAAACAGAAGACAACTTCAGGTTCCTTTCTTCTCCATGGGAGTACCAGATCAGTGTTGTTTCATCCTGTAAATACCATCAAAGACTAAGCATTGATACATTTCGGGTTGCTGACTCATATATCATACTTAGATGAAGAAAATATTGAAGCACATATACCTCATAGATATATTAAGCAAATTGATGTAATCCAATTCATGTATCTATATATACATGCGTATATATGAATAAACAGATCTAGCTAAACTTCGTGCAACTTATTAAAATATAAATAGGTTTTCAGTTATGTTGGCTGGACTACCCTTCATGCATAGATATGAGTGCATGGAATCTCAGATCCTAAAACACATACACAAATAGAATTTACTAGACAGGTTTTCAGAGAAAAGGCCGTTACATTGTAAGAACACAATAAAATAGCTTGTGAGTGCATCCGTGATGTATTCATTAAAAATAACGGCACTTTATAATGCCAATATGAATTGTTAGGCAGAGAAATAGAACTAAAATACATTGCCAATGTCACATTTACGAAGCACCATGGATAGCATAAAATGAAAATTACTATTGCAGTGATCACCCGATCTGGCCTGCTGCTAAGGAAACATTAGTACATGCCTTTTTACATATATGTTTTTTCCTGTTATATTAGGTAGGTAACTTGGTTAGAATACACTCCCTTCCTTTTCTGGACAATGTCAAATGTGTATTATTTGTCCATTTCAACTTGAGAATTCAAAAAACTTATAAATTTAGAAATTCTAAGGACCAAATTTCAGGATCCATACTTGAGTACTGTTGTAACTTTTGAGAATGTAAATTTTAAACTACTCATTTCACTAGAATCACTGAGGTAGATGGATAAGATACTACAGCCAAATTATTCCTAATATTTGAACCAAGGTTTGCTATGTTTTCACTAATAAAATCCAAGCTGGCAAGTTAAAATGCAGATTCCTGAGGGAATGTTTACATAATTTTAATATTCTTGTAAGAAATGGGCAGATTACTTTTTTATTTTTCTACGATAAAGGAACAAGAAAAGCAAGTCCACAACAGGTCATTAATAGGCGTTATTCCTAGGTTTCCCCTTACTCATTGACGCAAATAATTAATGGTGCTTTGGCAAGCGTCTTGAAAAAGTCAAAGAGTCATTATACTAAGTAACTGAGGGTTGGAACTACTAAGTGTTAGCTTAGATAAGTGGTAAAAGTGTTACTAATGTAGTGTGGAAATTCTAAAAGTCATTCTAGGATAAATAAGGAGTCATTAGAAGTTATATATTATATAATGGTCAGCCCTCTCTCTGGTGTAACAAGTCTGCATCAATATAATTTTGAAATATTTTCTGATTAAATACTTCTCTTAAGGATCTTTCCCAGATTTCCGTTTAGAAATCTAGGCTCCAAAGGTGATTGGAATAATTCTAGTTTATGTTACTGTTGTAAGAAGATTATGTTCTATTTCTGTTTGCTTCAAGTGGTATCAGAGCCTTTCCGGTAAGATCTGTGATTATTGTGGATTTATGGCTAGACAAGGAAGCAAGATAGCCACAAAAGAAGACTTTAAGAATCTGCAATATCAAAACTTTCATCTCAGCACTATATTAGAACAATATGGAATCATTTCACCTCTTAATCTGGACATCAGGATACAAGAGGACAGCAAACAAAGGCATATCAAGGTGAAAATTCGATAAGACAGCCTACTGAAGAAAGATATCAGTGCCATATGCAGTCTAGAAGTGCAAAATGGAATGCTGCCATATCAGTTATGAAAATAATGCACAGAGAAGAAGAAAACAGTCTGTTCTATATTGCAGATTGCATGTTACAGCGTACAAAATACAAAAGCTGAGTATAATGATAAAGAACTAAAAGAGAAAAAGACAAACAAAGAAAAGACAGAACTACCACTCTAACAAATATAAACAAAAGATACATAACATAAAACTCTCTAACACTCTTAACACCCCCCCACCCCTTTCTCAAACTCACGATGTGATAGTGAGAAGCCTCGAGTGTTTGCTAAGAAGAAAATGAAAGCGTAAAATAGCGTGGGACTTCAGTCACCTGGATAGAAGAAGAAACAAATGGTAGAGAAATGGTGCCAAGCTGAAGAAGATGATGGCGCATGAAATGAAAATCAATCTCAATATGCATGGTGCATTCATGAAAAACAGAATTGTGTGCAATCTGAATAGCACTCTTGTTATCACAGTACATAGAAGGTTGGAGCAGCCAAAGAAACACCTAAATCAGCAAGCAACCACCATAGCCAAGCTATCTCAGCTACCACCATAGCCAAACTATCTCAGCTGTAGTTGCAGCCATGGCACGTTACTCAGCTTCAGCAAAAGAATGAGCAACAACTGTTGGCTTCTTGCTTTTCCAGGAAATTAGAGAATCACTTAGAAAAATGCAGAAACAATAGGTAGATTTATGATCTACGTAATCCCCAGCTGAAGCAAACGGGGAAAAAAAAAAAAAAAAAACACAGAGATCTTCTTACAGCAGTAAGAATAGAGTTACTCCAATCACTGTTGGAGCCTAGATTTCGAAAGGGAATTATGGGAAAAGCTTTAGAGAAGTTTAAAATCTGATAATATCTCAAAAGTATATTGATAAAGACTTGGTTATAGCAGATAAGAGGCTTGTCCCTTTTATAAGACAACTATGAATGACACTTCACTTTCTATACTTGCTTTTAACCTACCCACAAAGCATTAATAACAACTTTTACCATTCCCATGACATCTTCAGATTTTCATACCATAATTACTACTTAATAAATTTTGACTAGACAGTTTTCAAGACATTATTAATTATTTGCATCAAACCATCCTCGCTAAAGAAGACCCGCCCTCGAGTTTGAAGCAATTTACCAAGATCTATTAAAAACCCAAATAAGGTCTTCCATCATTTCTTTCTTCTTTTCCTTACTCAAAGAAAACACAACAATATTCTTTCAGCAACAAAGAACACCCTTTCACGAACTTCTCGAGCTCTCTTGTGAAATCTCCAAAACTTGCTTGAAGATTGTATGTACCTGTTTTTCAAGTCAAACTAAAGATGAAAATATCTGGGAAATACAGAAGAGGGGATTGAGGGAGAGAAAGCTAGCCCAATCAGAGTACTGAAACGATGGTAGAGAAGACAAGTCTGGAGAATATGTCAGAGCCCCAATTCTTTGTGTCCTTATCCCTTTTGCCTTTGCCACCTCTTCATAACCCTAGGTCATTCAGGTTGTTTATGTTGGGCCTCCGGATAAGATGAGTCAGAGCCCATGTTCCTTTATGGATCATGATGCCCTAATCCCTATTCTTTTAGTTCTGTTTCTAAGTGTACGTATCTCCTTGAATGATCTAAATAAAGGGTAGTTGTAAAGGTCTTTGTACTTACTCCATCCTGTCTTTTGCTTTTATCCTCGAAACTGGGTCTTGCCTAGCTAATTTTCCATCCTCCATTCCAAAGTCCCTTCTGCATTCCCATTGGCCTCCAAGAATCCTACCATTACTCTTCGTTGTTTGTTTTCTTTGACAGAAGGTGGCTTGGTCGGATCGAGGTTCAAGACCCATCGATCGACAGTTTCTGCCTTGATCGGATCGAGGTTCAAGGCCCATTGATTGACAATTTGTGGCTTGGTCGGACCGAGGTTCAAGGCCCATCGAGCGAAGTTTGTGGCTTGGTCGGTTCGAGGTTCAAGGCCCATCGATCGATAGTTTGTGGCTTGGTCTGTTCGAGGTTCAAAACCCATCGATCGACAATTTGTGGCTTGGTCGGATCGAGGTTCAAGGCCCGTCGATCGACAGTTTATGGCTTGGTCGAATCGAGGTTCAAGGTCCGTCGATCGACAATTTGTGGCTTGGTCAGATCAAGGTTCAAGGCCCGTCGATCGACAGTTTGTGGCTTAGTTGGATCGAGGTTCAAGGCCCGTCAATCGACAGTTTGTGGCTTGGTCGGATCGAGGTTCAAGGCCCGTCGATCGACAGTTTGTGGCTTGGTCGGATCGAGGTTCAAGGCCCGTCGATCGACAGTTTGTGGCTTGGTTGGATCGAGGTTCAAGGCCCCTCGATCGATAGTTTGTGGCTTGGTCGGATCGAGGTTCAAGGCCCATCGATCGATAGTTTGTGGCTTGGTCGGATCAAGGTTCAAGGCCCATCGATTGACAGTTTGCTTTTGTTGAGTTGGATTTCCAATATCGACCGAATGTTGGTCATTCTTTGTTTTCTCGTTTCTTTTGGAGCTGGCACTGAAGTGACGTCAGCTTGTCTTGACTTTTTGGTGACGTGGCATAACTACATCCACAAAGAGACTTGAACTACTCTGATTTTTACATTGAACTCCCAGCTGTATGTTGTGCCAAGAATCCATCCCAAATCAGGTCATGCATATGGATTCCATTGTTTGTCAAATCCATGAATGAAGAAGCTTCAGTTCTGACCAAATTATTCAAGAACCATAAATCTATTGTATTGCTTACTGCACCACATACAACCTTAGTCACATAATTTGTGTAGGAGGGTGGCGATTTTGTGCTCCGCATGCGCATTCATGAATTGGGCGTAGATGCTGCAAGAATCCGCAAATTCCAATTTCAGAATTCGCGAACTTAACTTGTGAGTTCGCATTGGGTTCGTGAATCCAAACTAATTCATTCATTTGCCCATGTGTATAAACTATTTTACTGCCACATGTCACAATCATGCATGTGTATATGGACTAGCCACGTCTTGAACAGGTCCTTTAACAGGTAAAAGTGGTAAAACAAACCATTTGGCTACAATTTGTTTTGACATTAAAAGTTCACTACATTATATATATATTTTAAAACACATTATGACTATCACTTAAATTTAATAACAAATTAAAAAATATCATATTTAATAAAAGAAATTAATAAGAAATAAAAAATAAAAAATAGTTAATAAATTTATATAATAATATCTCATATAAAATAAATATACATACATAAAATATATAATATACCGGCGATCTCAAAATGCTCCCGCTCTCAAATAATTTTAAATTTAACGCTCTCATGCTCCTGCTTTCGCTCTCGCTCCC